GCTGAAAAAGAAAAAGTTCTCTATGTCAAGCTGTCCCCAGCCAAAAAAAAAAAAAAAAAAAAAAAAAAAGGAAATTCAAAAATCGGCTATTTACATGGCCATAGGCTAGGGTTGATCTAACACAAGTATTTTTTGGGAACTATTCCAGTAAAGAACTGTGATAGTTAAGATGTACCGAAGACAAAAAAAAAAAAAAAAAAAAAAAAAAAAAAAAACGATCTTTTTCAACTTTTTTTGGGGTGCCCCCCTCCCTCCTATGGGAAACAAAGTGCAATTCTATACTCTTTATCATGAAAAAAGGATCAGTCAGTAATCACTAACCGATATTTTTTCATGATGTAAAGAGTAGGGAAAGGTGGCCATTTTCTGGGACGGTCTCCTTAAGGGGATCTTCTGGTCATTTTTCGGCCTAAATCTTCCATCTTGCCGAAATAGATTTAAATACATTTCCAAAGAGTTTCAGGGCCTCCGAATCTCCTCTGAAACTTTTAAGTCCGACACTATTTTAAAGGTGGTAGTAGTCACTTTCGAAATATGAATTTTCACCTTACCTTAGAAAATAAGAAATTGTGACTTAACGACTAGATATAATATAAATATGAGATGATTTTCTGAGGGCTTTTAAAGTTTCACCAATTATGGACCAACCTTTTTTTGAAGAAAGGATCTGGGGTGTTAAAAAAACGTAATGAAGAATTTTTGTTTACCAATAATAGTGATATGCCGTTCATATGAATTTTTTTATTTTGCTTATGTTTGGATTATATATCTTTTTCATCCTTCAGCAAAATGTTTTGAACATGCACCCCCCCTCCCCCAAAAATGTGGGTAGGTTTGCCAAGTGATCATGAATACCACCAAAATTTAATGGAATTTAAGTTAGGCCAAGACACACCTCTGGTAAAAATCTCATTAACCTGTTGCGCCAGTGGCACGTACGTACAACCCATGGCTGTCTTGGACGAACGCCGGGGCATCATGTCATGCCCATTCCGCCTACTGGCTCGTTGGACAGAGAGTTGTTTTTCTCAGAATAGTAGCGGCTTCATTTATATGGGAAAGATTTTAGGCAATGGCACCTTTAATGAAGGTAAACCTTCAAAATTTTGATATTTTTATAAATAATAGCAAAATAAAAGCTTTTAGGTGCTATATGTCGCTTGCAAACTACCGATCGAGCTGTGTGCAAATGGGAAACTGATGGTGCGCGCCAACAAGCCCGTGCATACGTCAACATGCCAAAATTTTTACCTGTCGGCGATGGGTTAAAATCTGTCCATAATTTTTTTAATTAGAAAAAAAATCTTGTTCACCACCAAAGTGTAACAGTGTTCAGGTTAGGTTAAGACACTCCTCTTTGAAAACATTTCTTTAAAATCTGTTAATAACTCTGAGCTATCCTTGAAATATAAAAAACAACAACCAAGGAACAAACAAACAAATGGAGGTAATAATTTATATGAATAGAAGCTCATGAAATGCACAGTAATGATCTGTATATACACAAAGCATATATTCATACAGTAACAACACCCTGTATTTGTATATTTGTATTTCAAATTCCTGTGGTCAGAACTCTGACCACAGGAATGTGTGCGCGTAGGGCCCTCTCTTGCATCTTGGCCTGCGAGTGTGATGTTCATTGGCATGGAGAAAGATGATATTTCAGACTGACATTTTATGTTGTAAACCCCCATAAAAGCAATGAGAAAGGGAAATGATAGATGATTTTATCATATAGAACTATTAGATATATTATTTGTTATCCATAATGTAAAAAAACGAACTTGAAAAAATCGTGATATTTCTATACCCTACATTGTTATGCGTAGCACATGCATTTTCATTTAGAAAAAAACGTTATGGCTCATTACATAGCTGAATAGTAGATCTATTGAATGGTGCAATTGGCTTTTGCAGTTATTTCATGTACTTCTTGTAAAAGTGACATATATTTATAGATGCCACTTTTATGATGCTCCACAAAGTGGTCTACATAAAAAAAAAATAATAATAAAATCGAAAAATCTACTTCTGTTTACAATAGATGAGAGATTATTCTAATAAAAAATAAAATCTGAAGGCAAAATATATATAAAATTTATATATATATATATATATATATATATATATATAATATAATATATATATATATATATATATATATATTATTTTTTTTTTTTTTTTTTTTTTTTTTTTTTTTTTTTTTTGTGCCACCGTAAGGAAATGGAGTCTCCTGAGACATTGTTACATGTTGAGAATTACTGTAAGACTTCGGAATACAGGTAGATGATTGACATTTATGATATAGGAAGACTATGCTTCTCCCTTTTATTGTTCATACCAAAAAAATGATGAAAAGAGAAAAAAAAACTGTAAGGACTTTTATTTTGGAAGTATACCCTTGTCGGTTTCAAATGCCCTATCTATGGAAGACATTCAAAGCTAAATGCTTGAAACGCAAAATTCCACAACTCATGCTCCCTCCACACTTGAAGTGATTGCCAGTATCCATACCCCTCCTATTCATATTCCCCCTACACCCCTTCCTCCTACTCCCTCTCAACACAACCTAACCCCCTCAATTCCGTGCACCACTGATATCCATCCTCCAGATACCCATCCTCCTGAAATCCATCCCCCTCTTACTCATAGCACCCCTACACCCCTTCCCCCTAATCCCTCCCAAGACAACACATCCCCTTCAACTCCTACTATCCATCCTTCCGATATCCATCCTCCTACCAGTAATATTCCCCCCACACCACTTCCTCCTACTACCTCCCAAAACAACCCACCCCCTTCAACTCCAACTATACACACATTCTCCCTCCCTCCATCCCCTCTATCCTTTCCATTCCCTCCCGGATACACACGGGAATCACTCATGTCACACCCCAGCTCCTTCCCCACTAGATTCCCCAACACGTACCGGTGCTTTCACTCATAAAATAACTAAGATATAGCTCTCCTATATTGGAATATTAGCAGTTTCTGTTTTCACATATTAGACCTACGTCATATCCTTGCTTCTTATTACAAACTGTTCTCCTTCCTCAGACGCATAAATATCCTTCACTTGATCTAATTCCCTCAAGTAAACCACCATAACCCTTTCCCTCATTAACCCCCTTACCCATCATCAACTTTCTAACATTACTCTAGATAGTTGAAGCATAGCAACTATCACCTGACATCACCCTTTACTATACCTTCCTATAGTGCCATATGACCTGAAATGTCTAGCGCATTTATTTCGCTTTTAACCATTAACTATTAAACATTCAAATGCTCTAGCAAATGCAAATTTAGTCCAAAATAAATGTTTTATGGCTCATTTTGTAGATGAATAATATATCTAAGGAATGTAGGGAGTGGCTTTTAATTTTTTTTTCCTATGCTTCTTTTAAAAGTGACATATTTGATTTTTTTTTTTTTTCAGACACCTGCCGGTCAAAAAAAAAAAACTAAAAAAAAAACTAAGTCGAAATAAAAAGAAAAATTCTTCCTCCATTCCCTGGATATAGGATGATTCTGGAAAATAAAATAATCAGAGTGATTTTGCAATTTGTTTTGGATTTTAAAAGGATTTAGAAAAATAGTCAATTTCTTTTTTTTCATTCATTGTTTGGTATTTTACTATAGTTATAGTTTGGCAATTAAAAAAAAAAGATGATCTCAGAGGTTTGGGTCAATTTCAATCGGCAAAAAAAAAAAAAACAGACAATCCCCTTAAGTTATTTTTATTTCATTTTAGGTGGAACAACACATATTTAGTAGTAGTATCGTGCTGGGATTTTTTTTTATATGGTAGCTTGTTTATTTGAGGGAAGAACTGCATTGACCATGAAATTTTGTTATTTCACACATTTTTTATTTGTAGAGACATTTAATTCTCTCTCTCTCCTCTCCTCTCTTTCTCTACTCTCTCTCCTCTCTCTTACTCCACTCTCTTACTTCACTCTCTCACTTCTCTCTCTCATCCCCCTCTCTCTCATTCCCCTCTCTCTCTGTCTGTCTGTCTGTCTCTGTTAACTCATTAACGCTGGTATATTTTGAAGCTGAATATTCCAGGTAGTTACTAAATCGGCGCGCGGGGCTGGCCCGGACTCTGCCCTTGCGCTGACCGCGGCCCGCTGCTGTGTCAGAGCGTGAGACACAATACAGCGTCACACTGCGGGATGCCTGGCAATGTTTATGTTTTCGGGTGTCTCATATGTGGGTCACCCGTCGTTAGTGGGTTCTCTCTGTCTGTCTGTCTCTGTTATCTCTCCGTCTGTCTGTTTTCTGTCTCTCTCTCTCTTCTCTCTCCTCTCTCTCTCTCTCTCATCCTCTCTCTCTCTCTCTCTCTCTCTCTCTCTCTCTCTCTCTCTCTCTCTCTCTCTCTGTCTCTCTGTCGTCTCTCTCTGTCTCTCTGTTCTTCTCGTCTCTCTCTTCTCTTCTGTCTCTCTCTCTCTCTCTCCCTCTCTCTCTTCCTCTCTTCTCTCTCTCTCTCTCTCTCTCTCTCTTCTCTCTCTCACTCTCTCTCCCCCCCCCTCCTTCCCTTCCTCCTTCCTTCTTTCCCTCCTCCCTTCCTTCCTTCTCCCCCTCTTCCTTCCCTCCCTTTCTCCTTCCCTCCCTCCCTTCTTCCTTCCTCCCTCTCTTCTTCCCTCCCTCCCTCGCTTCTTCCCCCTCTCCTCTCGCTTCTTCTTCCTCCCTCCCTCGCTTCTTCCTTCCTCCTCTCCTCCTCGCTTCTTCCTTCCTCCCTCCCACTCCCTCCCTTCTTCCCTCCCCACTCCCTCCCTTCTCTCCCTCCTCCCTCCCTTCCCTTCCTCCTTTCCCTCCCTTCTTTCCTTCCTCCTTCCTCCTTCCTTCTTCCTCCCTCCTTTCCTCCCTCCTTCCTCTCCTTTCCCCCTCCCTCCCCTTCCCCCTTCCTCCATTACTCTTGTCCCTTCTTGCCAATCTCACATCATGATTTGCAAACTCTTATATGTCTATTTACCTTTCCATGCATTCTTCAGGTCCAGGAGCTGCTAGAGGAGTACCAGGTGGATGGACAGCACAAGTGCAAGACCTGTGGAGAGATCATTGCGCGTAAGGCTGACTTCCTGGTGCACGTAGACACCCACAAGGACTTCATGCCATGGGAGTGCACCATATGCGGCTCACGCTTCAAGATCCGAGGCTCCCTCAAGGAGCACCTGCGTTATACTCACATGAAGGGCCGAGTGCCCTGCCTCAAGTGCAATAAAGTGTTCCCAACCTCCACTCTACTCAGACAGCATGTTAAGGTAGTGTATCCACAGTATTTTGGTTCTCTTTTTTTTTTTCCTCTTTTATTTTTATTATTATTTTTTTTTTGTTTTACTAATACCAGAGCTACATATCTATGTTTTTGTGTATTTAAGATAGATTTGTTATCTAATGTATTTAATACATATTAATATAGCATATACTAACAAAGTATAATGTTTAAAGCTCATGCTAACATTGACTTAAAGGAAATAGGATTAATAGGTCTTTATAATGTTGAGCAAATGTTTGGAGGCTGTTCATACAGGTATTTGCTTTCAGTATTATATCTTTTTTATTCTTATTGTCACCAGTATCTTTTCTTTTTATTTGGTTCTTTTGCAAGTCTTCCATAATAACTTTGTTTTCTGAACTCCACTCCATTCCAATTTCATCACCTGTGTTTTTTTTTCCTTTTACTGCCTCTCCCTTGATTTTCATTCCCAGTTTCCCTCACCCCAGGTCTCTTGAACGCCTTACTCTCCTGCAATTTGTCACTCCTTCGTTTCCCTTTTATTATATTGTATTACATCTCCTTTTTTTGATGTGTTATTGATGATAGTTGATAATGTCATTAATCTTTATTAAGTCATTGCCTCCAAGTGTCTTTATACCATAATACAAAGTCAAAACCAATCATAGTATTCACAAAATGTCTTACAATTTTTATTTTGTGATATGCACTGTGCCATATCTCAGAGTTAATGCTGCTAATTAGAATGCATTTACAGTGTTGTATACCTATTGTTGATAGTTATTGTAATATGGTAAGGTAAAATATTTCAGTAATTCTCTTTTAGTAAGATGATCTTACACATTTATTATATGTAAATATCAGTTTGTTGTCATTGCATCACCCATGATGGTGAGCAGCACTGTTTTTATAACCACAATTAAAATGTAGGGGATGGCTCAATTACTATTTGACAATATATCAAAAGGAGTCTCCAAGTTTTCCAGGCGCAGTTATCTTTAATCTCTGTAAATTTTTTCTGCATCTCATAAGGACAATCTAAAGATAGTCCTTACACGTATGGGACACTTCCACATGTTTTAAAAGTTTGGCCAAATTGCAAAAACTGCCTATCAAATTTTTAGAGGAGTCATAGACAAAATAACTAAGAAATAATCAGAAATTTTGAATAAAAATTGGAGGTCGCATTTGCTACATTGTCAACCGTTAATTAATCCATTAACTACATATTTACTGCAATTTTCTATTATAAAAAGCAATTGGTGCCACATACCTTCACAGCTGATACAATGATAATACACATATGGATGCCACTATACAATTGAATATAAATAATGATAATATTGTATAAACACTTGTAAGATTTAATCCAGTATAGTTTATTGTAGCAATCAGTTATCATTATTAGGCCCAAAACAATGTAAATGTTTGTTCTAATTAACAGCTTTAACTTTGAGGCATGGCATCAACGCTAATCATAGACAAAATCGAAAAAAAATTGTCATAGACCTTTAGTTTTTTATTGGTATAGTTTTATTGATTTGGCAATCATATTATGATTTTTTCTATTATTATTGTTATTATTGTTATCATTATCACCATTATTAATACCATGACATCATTATCAATATAAGTAAATTCAGAAAAAAGGTATTCCTGTCAGGCATTCAGTGGCCAGAAACTTAATGATGATACAAATTTTAGCAACAGAGCAAAAATTTGCATATTTAGTAAAGAAAGTTATTTTCCACAGAAGCCAATGTCTTTCCATGGTCTTCCTGTAAATGTTAGCATGATTTATAGGGCTATGATAGCATTTTCATGAGGATTGAGGGTAACCCTTTCACTGAAAAAGTTAATAATTTATTTTATCTAGGCTACATTGTCCAGCTTTGGTGGAATAAGGACTTAAAATTCTCATTTAGTTATCTTATATTGTCTTTCAACCCTTAAAGTTCATATGTTCATAGTTAGAATCACTGATTCATTCATTTTTTTATCAGTACTATTTCTTTATTTTATTTATGTTATTCCTCAAGTACATAGAGAATCAGTGAAAGGGTTGAAATTCATGTGTTGTTTGTTATGCATATTTCTGTAAGGCTTCTAGTATATGTAGATTTATACAGCTAATATATATATATATATATGCAATATATATATATATAATATATATAGTATAATATATTATATATATATATAATATAACATATATAATATTTATATAAAATATATATATATATATATATAATATATATATATTACACATATATATATTAT